GAGGGAAAGAGAGGAAGAGGAAGAAAGTTCCCCCTAATGTGCCCTAGGTCACCCATAATCCGTTCTCCAGTTCTCTGTCTTTTAGGATTTGAGATGCTTGACACACATCTTGTGTGTTTTTCAAGCTTCTAGGCCTCCATGGCCAGGTGGGGTCCAGCTCCCTTAACCTTGGCTGGCCTAGAGGTATTACTGTGTTCATTTTTCAGACAGGAACTGAGGCACGTAAATGTTAAGTCCTTTGGCTAAGGCAGTGCCACTGATAATGGAGCTCGGATTCAAACCCAGATATGTCTGTTTCTGCTACACTATGCTGTCGTCAGAATTAGATGTATTGAATGGTATATATATTTTTAATAAACTAAATCTTATGTTGAGGTATATCTTTTTACAAATTACAAATATTAAAACTTTTAGGACCAGCAGTTAGCGTAATGGCTGTCACTGAACTCCCATGTAGCCAACTGCGGTTCTAGTCCCCAGACACAGTGGCTTATACTCAGACCGGGCGTGTGTGCATGTGTGCCCAAGAACCCGAGAGGAGAATCAAGGAGAAGGGATTGTGGCGTGACCATCCCCCCAGGGGGTGATTTCTTGCTTTCTATCTCTCTGTCTCTCTCTGTCTTTCTGGTGAGCGCATGTACCCTGTAGCAAAAACCTCTCCAAAAAAAGAAAAAAACCTTTTTATTCTTCCATTTTAAAATAGTTAAAAATTATTTGAGTCATGCAGAAGCTGATCTCTCTTCCCCAAAATGACTAAAGTTTTTTTGGTTAATGTTATTAATTTAAAAGTAGTATTCTCTTTAGCAATGTAAATTTCAAACAAAGAGGATGGACAGAATTAAGTCTTAAAGGGAAAAATTGAAAATTTTTTGCTGCAAAATACTTCTCAATTGTAATTCATGGAGATCCTAGTTTTCTTTTTGTAGGCTTTATAGTTTGTGGAAGAAGTGCCCTAATATCAATTTTCAAAAAGTGAAAGAAATATGCCTGATGTATACATGACAATCAGATGCTATCTAGTGTAGTATGAAACAGTTATAAATGTGGCTTATGTGTGAGGCATTTATTTGGGAATTATGATAGAAAATAAAAGAGAAAATATTTTTTAAATAATTATTTTTATTTAACTTTATTCATTTATTCATTCATTTATTTATCTTTAATTTGATCATACAGAGATACAGAAAGAGAGGGAAAGTGAGAAAGTAAACCACTGGGTCCAGGACTTGAACTGTAATCGTCCATGTGGGACTGTCCAGCACCTTAACCACCATGCCACTTGCTGGTCCCAAGGAGGAAATATATTATAATTTTCCATAGAAGCTTCTTCCTTTTTTTAAAACATTTTTTACTGAAAATGGAATATGCTTTTTTTTGAAATCTACTCTTTGCCTCGCATATAATAGGCATTCAAATATGAATAAAGAACATAGCTTTTCTTTTTATGAATATGAAAAATAATTAATGGTTAAAACAAAATGACAGCTATCCAAACCACTTGACTTTGGGGTGCAGTGAGGCATTTTATGTGTCAGAAACCGCTTTCCAAACCAACATGTGAGTTTATAATTAATTAATTATTTATTTATTTATTTGCCAGTGTGCCCCAGTGAAAAGACAAGGAGAGGGAGAAATTGAGAAAGCATCCCCATGGGGCATGCTCGTGTCACAATCCCTTCTCCATTTCTTTCTCCTTTTCGGATTGTGGGCACCTACGTACATATAGCCCATTATGCTATTCTTTTTTTTTTTTTCCTCTTTTTTAACTTAATTTTTATTTATTATTATTTTTTAATTTGACCAAAGAGACAGCGTGCGAGAGAAGGGGAAAGTCAAAAAGCAAGCTACCAGGTCCAGGACTTGAACCACAGTCAGCCATGTGGGAGTCCAGCACCTTAACCACCACACTACCTGCTGGCCCTGAGCCCAGTGTGTTTTTCAAACTGCCAGGTCCAGTGCTCTGACTACACAATAGGCTGTGTGAGATCCTGCTGTCTTAACCACCACACCGTAAGTTGGCCCAGCTTTACAAATTTTTGGAACATTTCATTTCTCCTGCCACATTAGAGGGGTTGTAAATACTAGTGAGTACAGACAAGCCAAGCAGACCTTGCTTACCCTTTTGAAGAAGGTAATGGAAAAAAAAAAAAAAAAAGAAGATAATGGAAGGGTAGAAGATATTTTTAGCTCTGGCTCTGTAGTGCCATTGTATGTGGCTGCATGACCTTGAGCAAGTCATCTGGCCTTGGCTGTCTGCATTGTGCTCCTTCCTTAACAGGTGCTATGCTACCTTAATTTGTTAGGTACATTTAAAGCCTGTGCTTTTGTGACTTTTGTGATTTTGTTCATTTCTTTTTAAAAGAAAATGGTAAATTGAAGACTTTTAGTAAATTGTGGTTGCTTGAACATAGGCATCTAAAATTGAGATGCTTGTCTTTTATTTATTTATTTGTTTATTTTAAATTTGCCAGAGAGCCCACGTACTTGCTGGAGAGAGACAGAGAGAGAGGAAAAGAACTCCCTTTAGGAAATGGTCATGCCTCAGTCTCTTCTCCATCTCTTCCCTCCAAATCTTAGGATTTGATGTATGCACATACACACACCCAGCGTATTTCTCAAGCAAACAATTCCAGGTTTTTATGCTGTTAGCCATGTGGGATTTAGCTACCTTACCCACCTTGCCACTGGCTGACCTTAAAATTAAGGTTTTAAAGCACAAACATTTAAGTTAATCAATACATTCTTAGAGTGATAGTCTGGTTCTCATTTTATTGAGACTAAAATGAGTTAAGTCATTTCCCCAGGTGACACAGTTATTGGTGACTGAGTCAGGTTTCATCATCATCAGTGTTGATACTTTAAAGGTTAGTGGTAAGTTTTTTGGATTTTTTGAGAGAGAGATTTTTGCTATAGGGTGCATGCACTCACTGGAGAGACAGAGAGACAGAAAGGTAGAATCTCTCCCAGGGTGATGGCCACGCCACAGTCCCTTCTCCTGGGATGAATTTCAAGCCACCAGGTCCGGGACTCGAACCGTGGTCAACTATGTGGAAGTCCAGTGATGTAGCTGTTATGCCATTTGCTGGTCTCAGTGGTAAGTTTTCAAAGTTTAAAAATTATTTTAGCTGGGGCAGAAGGCCACATGGTGTTTAAGGCTCTGGATCCCACATGGCCGGCTCCACAGTCCTAGTCCTGGACCTGGAGGCTTGAAACACCCACCAGGCACATGTGCATACATGCCCAAAATCCTGAGAGGAGAATGGAAGAGAAACGATTTCTTCCTTGCCAATCCTCCTGTGGTGTGCGTGGGGGGTGATTTCTCACTTTCTCTCTCATGCCTGTCTTTCTCTGGCAACTGTACATGCCATATGGATAAAAAAAATCTAAAAAGCCGAACTATTTTAGGGTATATAACTTTTTTTTTAAAAGAGATTTTTGCTATAAGGCACAGGCGCTCACCATTAAGACAGAGAGACAACGAGAAATCACCCCCCCAGGGGGGATGGCCATGTCCTAGTCTCTTCTCCATTCTCCTCTGGGGATTTTGGGAATGTATGCACACACATTAGGCATGAGTTTCAAGGCTCCAGGTCCAGGACTTGAACTGCCGTCAACTATATGGGAGTCCAGTGATAAACTATTATGCCATCTGTTGGTCTCTTTTAGGGTATATACCTTTTTTTTTTTTGAGAGATTTTCGCTATAGGGCGTGTGCACTCGCCAGACAGACACAGACAGACAGAGACAGAAAGCAAGAAATCACCCCCCAGGGGGGATGGCCACGCCACAATCCCTTCTCTTCCATTCTCCTCTTGGGATCTTGGGCACGCACGCACACGTGCCCGGCATTGAGTTTAAACCACTGGGTCCGGGCCGAACCATGGTCGACTACGTGGGAATCCAGCGACATAGCCATTACGCTAACTGCTGGTTCCCTAGGGTATATAACTTTTAAAAGAGTAGGAAATACTATATTCTTTTTAAAAAAGAATTATTTATTTATTTAATTCCATTTGTTGTTATTATTTTTTAATTTGACCAGAGAGAGAAAGGGAAAGTGAGAAACCAAGCTGCCAGGTTGGACTCAAACCATAGTCAGCCATGTGGGAGTCCGGCACCTTTAACCATCAAGCCACCTGCCAGTCCTGGAAATACTAACATTCTTAAATAAAATTTGGCCTATGCTTTTAGGAGAAAATGTGAACTTTCTACTTCTGTTTTGTGAAAACTTGAATGAGTGTAAAAGATACTCAACCTTGATTAGCCCAACATTCTTTTTTTGTTTTGTTTTGTTTAGTTTTTGATATTGGGCTTATGTACTCACCAGAGAGAGTCAGAGAGGGAAAGTGAGAAATCATGCCTCGGGGTGTGGCCAAACTGCAATTCTTTTTTTCCCATGCTTATCTCAGGATTGTGGGCACACATGCGCACATACCTGGTGTGTTTTTCAAGCCATTATGTCCAGGACTCAGCCACAGAGTTGGCCGTTTGTGGTCCAGCACCTTAACCACTGTGCCACCTGCTGGCTCTAATGAAGTATTCAAAATGAAAAATTATAAAAATGGCATTTGTGGGTCAGCAGGTGGCATGGTGGTTAAGACATTGGACTCCCACATGGCTGACCACAGTTTGAATCCTGGACCTGGGCAACTGGAAAATCATGCTGGGCACATGTGTGCAAGTGCCCAAAATCATGAGAGGAAAATGGAGGAGAAGGGATTGTGGATTGTGGTGTGACCAACCCCCACAGGGGGTAGGGGGCTTGGCGGAGTGATTTCTCACTTTCTCTTTCTGCCTCTCTCCAGGGAATGTATGCATCCTATGGCAAAAACCTAAAAAAGAAAAAAAAAAGGCTTTTGAGCTAATTTTCATAATAATGAACTTTCAGAATGTAAAGGAACTAACTTACCTTATTGATTTGTATTTTTTAGGTATATTCAGAGTCTCCAGGAACTTCTTGATTTTAAGGACAAAAGTGCTGATGATGCTAAAGCTATTTATGAGTAAGTACACTGAACACAATTATGAATATATTTTTTAAAAGCATTATTTATTCCATTTTATTTATTATTATTTTTTAATTTGGCCACAGAGACAGAGAGAGGGAGAGAGGGAGAGGGAGGGAGAGAGAGGAAGAGAAAGAGAACGGTAGAGAGTGAGCAAACAAGCCACCCGGTCTGGGTCTAAAACTGTGGTTGGCCATGTGGGAGTCCACAGTGCCTTAACCACCATGCCAACATCATTTTAAATAAAATGTAAATGTGCTGGGGCCAGCAGATGGCATAGTGGTTAAGGCACTGGACTCCTACATAGTCTCGGTTTGAGATGGACTTGGCAGCTAAAACTCACACTGGGTATGAGAGGAGAATGGAAGAGAAGGGACTGTGGTGTGGCTATCCCTCCAAGGGGTGATTTCTCACTTTCTGTCTCTCTCTGTCTCTCCAGCAAATGCACATGCCCTATGGCAAAAATCTCTCTCAAAACAAAAAGTAAATGTACTAAGAATACATTTGGATGTATTAGATCAATTCAAGGAAATTGGTTAATTTTGAAGTTCCCACTGCTTTTGAACGTATTGTAGTATATATCTTAGCAGCTTGATACCAACAAGGCAAGCACCATAAATCAGTAAATTGGACTGGACGCCAGAAATGCTTCATGTCCTCGTTACCGTAACAGAACACCAAGTTCAAATGTGATGATGACATGGCCTTTGTGCCACTTGGACTGTTAACCTGGATCATCAGTGCTCCTTCTAAGGACGGCCACTCTCAGCTCCAGCTGACCCTTACACACAGAAATGCTGCCTAGACTGTCGGATTTTTTTCTCATTTAGAGGAAAGCTACCAGTTTAGACTTTTAATCTAAAATCTCTCAATTTTTGAAGATTAGCAACTAATTAATTTTTTTTTTTTTACCTGAGAACCTACAGAAATATGATTTGAGGTCTCCAGTTTATGACTTGTGATCTGTAAGAAAACGTAAACAATATGACTGGTTTGCTAACTCATGTACCAGGATTGGTCAATTCAATTTATCTCCTCAGACTTATGCCAATGAACATTGCTCAGAACTTAACAACCTCCTCTCATCCTCAGTCTGTTAGGTTACTCATTTTTAGGTCTGTTTAATTTTTTTTTTTTGGAGAGATTTTTGCTATAGGGCGCGTGCGCTCGCCAGACAGACAGAGAGAGACAGAGAGACAGAAAGCGAGAAATCACCCCCTGGGGGGATGGCCATGCTGCAATCCCTTCTCCTCCATTCTTCTCTCGGGATCTTGGGCATGCATGCACATGCACCCAGCATGAGTTTTAAGCCACTGGGTCCAGGACGCAAACTGTGGTCGACTACGTGGGAGTTCAGCGGCATAGCCATTACGCTAACTGCTGGTCCCCCCTGGGTCTGTTTTTAAAGAAGGTAGCAATACTTTTTTTTCCCTTGATGAAAGAGAGAGGGGGGGACAGGGAAATAGTGAGAGGCAGAGAAAGATTTTTTTTTTTCCCCGGGATCTTGGCCACGCCCGCACACGCGCCCGGCGTGAGTTTTAAGCCACCGGGTCCAGGACGCGAACCACAATCGACTACGTGAAAGTCCAGCGACATAGCCATTACGCTAACTGCTGGTTCCTGAGAAAGATTTTTTTTTAAGAATTATTTTGGGACCAGCAGTTAGCGTAATGGCTATGTCGCTGGACTCCCACGTAGTCCACCGCGGTTTGCGTCCCTGCCCGGTGGCTTAAAACTCACGCCAGGCGCGAGAGGAGAATGGAGAAGGGATTGTGGCATGGCCATCCCCTCTGTGGGGTGATATCTCACTTTCTGTCTCTCTGTCTCTCTCTGTCTGTCTGTTGAGCATACACACCCTATAGCAAAAACCCCTCCCCCCAAAAAATAATAATTATTTTATTGGGACCAGCCAATAGTGTAGTGGTTAAGAATTATTTTATTTAACTTTATTTATTTATTTATTTTAATTTAACCAGAGAGGGACAGAGAGGGAGAAAGAGAGAAAGCAACCCACCAGGTCCGGGACTTGAACCGTGATCGGCCATGTGGGAATCTGGTGCCCTTAACCATCATGCCATTTGCCAGCCCCTAAGATAGGTATTTTTGACAGTTTTGCTGTGTCTCAATCCTTCTGCGCAGCTCCACATTAGCTAGGATCTCAGGTGTGCACAGCCACACCCGGCTTGTTCGGGTTGGTTCAGGAACTCACCTGTGCCTACTGTGAAGCTTCCCGCCTCTCAAGTGGTGGCACTACCTATGTAGCACCAGGACTGGATCTCTTAACATTTTTTTAGGCAGGGACTCTGTCAGTTGCAATCCTGCTGCCTCAGCCTCCTGACTCACTGGGACTACAGACACACCACCACACTCAGCACCTGGACTTGAATTTGGAACTCCTATGTGGCCTCCACCTCCTGAGAAGCAGCATAAGCCAGTGCATGCTGTTGCAGCTGGCCAGTGCTTTATTGCTTTTTCTTTTCAGTTCTTATTTTTTTCTAAGGCAAGAGAAGGGATATCCCCAGTAGGGTCATTTCACCACTCTCGATCCCCGGCCTCAGGCAGCAGGGTCATGGGCATGTGTTAGTGTGTGCAGATTGACCCCAGGACATGAGCCTGGGACCTTCCTGTGTGGCTTAGCATCGTGAAGTGTTGCCTCACCACTGTAAGAGTGGGAGAAAATGTGCACCTTCTACTTTTTGTTTCATAAAAACTCGAATGTGTGTAAAATGTAGAATAAATGTTGGCTGACCCAACATTTCTATCTGTAATTTTTAAATTTTGTTTGTTCGTTTTTGCCATAGGGTACATGCGCTCATTGGAGAGGGAAAGACAGAGGGAGAGTGAAAAATCACCCGCCAGGGGGGCTGGCCACACTGCATTCCCTCTTCCTCCATTCTCCTCTTGGGATTTTGGGCATGCATGCACACTTGCCAGGCGTGATTTTTAAGGCACCAGGTACAGAACTCAAACTGCATTTGGCCATGTGGGAATCCAGTGCTTTAGCTACCATGCCACCTGCGAACCCCTAAAAAAATTTTTTTTTAAGTTTATTTATTTCTTCTACAAGTGAGAGAGAGAGAGAGAAAGCCAGCCCCTCCAACAGGGTACCTATACCACAGTCCATTTCCAGTTTTAGCCAGCCAAGGATCATAGGCACTCATGTACCTGGTGTACTCAAGGAGGTCTCCGGACCCAAACCAGAGCTTCCTGTGCAGGTAGGTTCGTAGAGCATTGAGTTATACTGCTGTGCCACTGTCTGGCCCTAATGCCATTTTAAAAAAATAATTATTTAATATTATTATTATTATTTAATTTGCGATAGGGCACTGGTGCTCACCAGGGAGAGACAGAAAGAGAGGGAAAATGAGAAAGCTGCCAGGCCTGGGACTTGAACCATCGTTGGCTAGGGGAATTCCAGCACCTTAACCATCATACCACCTGCTGACCAAGTGCTTCATTTTTTTAAACATAGTTTTGGTCAGAAAATAGCATTCAGCTAGCGTTTACTCCCTACTATGTATGATGCAGACTTCACGTGAATTATGCCATTTAATCTTTTATCTTTAAAGATATTTTTGCTATAGGGTGCATATGCACTTGCCCGAAGGACAGAAAGCAAAAAATCCCCCCCCCCCAGGGAGGATAGCCATGCCACAATCCCTTCTCTTCCATTCTCTTCGGATTTTGGGCACATATACCCAGTGTGAGTTTTAAGCCACTGGGTCCGAAAGTTGAACCATAGTCAACTACGAGGGAGTGCAGCAATATAACCATTAAGCCATCAAGCCATCTGCTGGTCTGTCATTTAATCTTAAGACAACTCTATTGTAATAATGTTGTTTGTGCACAGAGACTGACTAACTTGACATCACATAGCTAGCAGATGGTAGGACCAGGATTTAGACCCATGCAGTGTCATTTAAAAGTATGTATTATAGAACCTTCCAACAATGGTTAGACATTCATAGCTGAACCTAGAAAATAAGGTGAGGTGTCAAGCAGAACAATATGCTTTTCTCAGAGCGATAAAGTAAACAAAGTGGTGACTAGAATGAAACTGTGTTGTTTTTTAAGAGTTTTGTTTGTACTTTAGCTTAACAGTTTGATTTTGAAGGTAATTACAAAGTAGGAATTCCAGAAATGTTTCAAGCAGTGGGAACACCATGGGAATAAGTTAATAGTCCTCAGGATGACTTTGAATGGGGAAATACTCATTTGGAAGTGTAAATTCTGATGGGTGTGTTAACAGATTGGCTTTGTTACTTCATAATTAAGTCTTCTTTCTTTTTTATCCCTCTATAAATTAACCATGAGAAATCTTGTAAATGACAGAAATAGGAAGTTGGGACGATTTGAAAATTTTTCTTTAAATACTTCTTCCCTTTTGTAAACCTGCAGGATGAATAAAATTAGAATGCTTTTCTACATTTTTTTTTGCCGGAGGACATTTGTGCTGGCCTGAGACAGAGAAAGAGAATGGACAGTGAGAAAGCACCTCTACACGGGGAATGGCCACATCACAAATCCCTTCTACCCCGTTTCTCTTTCCTTTCAGGACTTTGAGCACATGGCACACATGCTCTGCGTGTTTTTCAAGCTTCTGAGCGCAGACACAAACTGCCCAGTTGGCCACGTGGGATCCAGCTGCCTTAATCACCATACCACCGGGTGGCAGTCTGCTTTTTTCTAAGTGGTTCTTCCTTTGCACCCTAAGGAAAAGTTCCAAAACAGCCAGGCTTTATTGGCTTATTCATCTCGATTCCTTATGATGCTGTGTTCCCTAGGTGCAAGTACTCTGTCTTCTGTTATCCGAAATGTCCTTCATGCTGAGGGTACAGATCACCGTAGTTGATAATGGTTAAAGAAAACCCCTATGTTTTTAGAATTGTGTCTTGTGACACCTCTACTGTTAGGAGTCCAAGATAAGAATTGAATTTTGAAAGCTTTATTTTGGAGGTCCTTATACCTTCATGGGTTCATATGTTTTATGATATAAAATATATTGAAATAAGTATAAAAAAGAACATGTTGATATTCCTTGTGATGAATTAGAAGCTTCTTGCTAAAGCCGTTGGTTAAACTTATATTTTAGTGTTCAATGCTCTTGTCACAGTATTTGGCTGTCTTGACAGATGGGGTTTGTTCAGCTTTACAGATACTGTGATACGGATCAGGAACCGACACAATGATGTCATTCCCACGATGGCCCAGGGTGTGATTGAATACAAGGAGAGCTTCGGAGTGGATCCTGTCACCAGCCAGAATGTTCAGTACTTTTTGGATCGATTCTACATGAGTCGCATTTCAATTAGAATGTTACTCAATCAGCACTGTAAGTGTCGTAATGCCGAGAAAAGCAGCAAAATAAAATGTGTTGGTATATTTTAAGTCTATTTAGAAAAGTTCTTTAACATTTATTATTATTATTATTATTTTAAGTTTGCTAGAGGGCACATGTGTGCTCACCAGAGAGAGAGAGAAAGAAAAAGAGAGAGAGAAAGAGAGGTAAAGTGAGAAAGCAAGCCACCAGGCCTGGGACTTGAACCATGGTTAGCCATGTAGGAGTCCAACATCTTAACCATAGCACCACCTGCTGGCTCCAAAAATGTCTCTTTAGGCAGAACATTAGTTTTATTCTTTGACTTACTGAAAAAAAGTAAATAGATTATAAAGGATATAGTTTTATTGAATGTAAAATACTATGTTTATGCTTGAGAAATATTTGTTTCACTATTTGGTACCACTTAGAGAAATAGTATTTAAATCTGGAAAAGGACATTAGGTTGGTTAGCTTATTTTGTTTTTATTTATTTATTTAGAGAAAGAGATTTTTTACTATAGGGTGCATGTGCTCACTGGAGAGACAGCAAGACACTGTTCCCCCCCTCGCCCCCTGTGGGTGCCCAGACCTTGATCCCTCCTCCTCCATTCTTCTCTTGTGATTATGGGCATGCATGCATATGTGCCTGGTGTGTTTTAAGCCATTGGGTCTTGGACTTGAACCACAGCTGGTCATGTGGGAGTCCAGTGCCTTAACCCTTATGCTCTGCTGCATAATTTTTAAAATTATTTTTAATTTTATTTTATATATTGTTGTTATTATTGTTTTAATTTGCTATAGAGCATGTGTACTATAGAGAAAAAGAGAGCAAGCCACAAGGTCTGGAACTTGAACTGTGGTTGGCTGTGTGGAAGCACTTCTGGCCCCTGTTTTTATGTTTTGACAGCTTTATTGTTTGGTGGAAAGAGCAAAGGAAGTCCCTCTCATCGAAAACACATTGGAAGCATAAATCCAAACTGCAATGTTGTTGAAGTTATTCAAGGTAAATACTTTCACTGACCTTTCATAAAGAATGCAGAAATGGAAATTGTTGAGTGTTACTTCTTTCTATTTAAAGAGCTATTTGTATCATGAGGTAAAATGTTAGCCAATCTGTGGGTTTGAAACAACTTTATAACATTGTCTGCTATGTATAGGATTATTTTTTTATTTTTGTAAAGATTTTTGCCATAGGCTGTGCACTCCCTAGAAACAGACAGAGACAGAGAGAGGGAAAGTGAGAAATTACCCCCAGGGGGAATGGGCATACCACAGCTCTTCTCATCCATTCTCCTCCTGGCATTCTGGGCATGCCTGCACACCCAGGGTGATTTTCAAGCCTCTAGGACCAGGTCTTGAACTCTGGTTGGCTATGTAGAGTCTGTGGCTTAACCACACCATCTACTGGCCCCTGGGTGGATATTTTGTTGACACAATTTTTTGTTAGGCAAAGCTTGTTGATACTATAGAAGGTATCTGTTTTATTTTAAAAATTCAAGTCTCAGGGCCCGCAGGTGGCATAATGGTTAATGTGCTGGACTCCCAAATGGTCAACTACAGTTTGAGTCCCAGACTTGGCAGCTTAAAAATCATGCCAGGCACATGTGTGTACATGCCCCAAATCCCAGGAGAATGGAGGAAGAAGGGATTTCTGTGTGGTCATTTCCCCAGGGGGTGATTTCTCACTTTTCCTCTCACTGTCCCTTTCTCTCTTGGGTGAGCACACACATACTACAGCAAAAACGTAAAAAAAAAAAAAAAAAAAAAAATTAAAGTCTCTATTTCCCCCTTTGTAATGTCTTATACTAGGAGTAGTGATTCGTAACAGTTACGTTTGCATCTTTCCACATTTTCCTGTTTGTACTGTGTGTACATATATGCAACTCGTGGTCTCACGTTGTGCTCTGTGTGTTTTTCTCACCTTTGCAGCCATCTTGTATTTCAGTACTTTCAGTACATGTGAATCTCCAGGATACTGAATGGCTATATAGACTGTGTTCATTTTTGTTTGTTTTATATTTTTGGTTTATTGCAAAAGTCACAACGCATTGTTGCATAGAAAAATATGTCATGACTTTTGCATAGAAAATTATGTCACAACCCCATAGTTTGCTATAGGGTACGAGTACTTGCTAGGAGGTTGGAGAAAAAGTGAGAAATCATCCCCCAAGGGGATGGCTATAGCACAGTCCCTCTTCCTCAGTTCTCCTCTTGGGATTTTGGGTACACATGTACACATGCCTGCATTTCTCAAGCTACTGGGTCCAAGACTCAAACCATGCAGACGGCCATGTAGATCCAGCTGCCTTAACCACTGTACCACCTCCTGGCCCCACTTAGGTTGTTATTTATTTATTTATTTTTAATGTATAATTTGCATTTTATTTTTTCCCAGTGGATAGTTCTTCAGTCCTTAAAGAGTTAGCTCCTTACATGGGCTTTAGTGGAGGGTGAGGGGCTGTACCCACAGGTCTAAATCAGGATGGGGGAGTTCGGTCCTGCTAAGCTTCACCAGATCGGTTCCTGACTACCTTGCTATGAGTGGCGCAACTCACACAGTAATGTAGCTTCACATGCAGCTCAGGTTGCACATAGGCATCAAAGACACTTGCTTCGAAGATGTCCCTGATAACTATGGCCTCTACTATGGTTTTTTTTTTTTTTTTTTTTTTTTTTTTTTTTTTTTGGGGCGATGGGCTTTCCAAAAAAAAAGGTATCACCCCCCCCCCCCAGCCACGGGGGATGGCCACGCCGCAATCCCTTCTCCTCCATTCTCTTGGGATCTTGGGCACGCACGCACACGCGCCTGGCGTGAGTTTAAGCCACTGGGTCCGAGACTTGTACCATAATGGGAGTTCAGTGACATAGCCATTATGCTAACTGCTGGTCCCGCTCTTTTTTTTTTTTCCCTCTACTATGTTTTGAATGACAAACTTTTTAATAGCCTTGTCCTTGGGTGCCCATTGGGCACCGTTCATGCAGTGAATAGGCTGCACGAGGCCACGGCCCTTTTTGGGACAGCCACTGTTCCTTCTTTTCTTCATCATCTTGGAAGCGAGGTCCTGAGACATCGTTTTTAATTATTTTCTGTTACCAGCAATGCTATAATGAACATCCTTAGATACATGCCAACTTTTGTTAGTATCTTAGATGGCAAGGTTCCTAGAATTAAAAACATTTAAAACAATTTTCAAATTTTGAGAGCTTCAAAAAGTTATCAGATAGTGCATAAGAGTATTTCCTAAATTCTCACAAACTTTTAAGAGTTCATTACATATATTGTAAATATTTTCTGTAGCCTATTTTTTTTAACTTGGTTTATGTTGTCTTCTAGCATATAGACATTTTCCATTTCTTTGCAGTAATTCATATCTTTCATTGTTCCTTAATGGTTAATAGGCTTTGTTATATCATACTTAAAAAACACCTTCCCCAAACTAAGATTATTAAAGTATACTTTTTTTGAGAAAATTTTAAATTTTCATTCGTCAGTACTGTTGACATCTTAATATATGAAACAGAACTACATTTATTTAATGCTTTCTTTTTGTTTCTATTCACACTAGATGGCTATGAAAATGCTAGACGTCTGTGTGATTTGTATTATGTTAACTCTCCTGAACTGGAACTTGAGGAACTAAACGGTAAGCCTGTTGTTTTTTTCCTCAGTGATTAGTATTTTGATTGCTTGAGAAGGAATGATAAGAATTTAGATTTGTTTTACTTAAAAAAGAAGCTTTTTTAAATCAACTTAATTGGCTATGAAGACTGAAGGAGAGTAATCATGTAAAAAACAGATGTGTGTATAAATATATATGCATATATATAAATTTATTGATTCTTTAGCTATTTCTATTCCATTTTCCTTAATTTTAATGAATAAATTTGATTATTGGCTTATCTTTTAGTTAATCATAGAAAAATCTGATGCCAGGTAAATTACATTTGACTTCTGAGTACATTCCAGTGATACCTAGTTTGCCCTTTTTTACTTCCTAAGCTGTGAATCATTTTAATTGTTAAAGTGAAAAGGCTAGGAATGTTAAAGAGTAAAGAAAGGTGCTCATCTGTTTGAGAATTCATTTCTGACAGTTGTCTTTCATCCTGACCTTTCTTTTGACCAGAAAAGGTTTTGATGCATTGGAAGGAAGCAGATGAGTCTGATTCATTTTACCAGAGTTATGGTAGTTCAAAGAGAGAAAAATATTTCCTACGTTAAGATGATCCTTGTAGAAGATGATGAGAAAATTAAAATTAAGTAGACTTTTACTAGACCTCAGAGCAGGAAAGTAGTCAAAGTTGCCCAGGTGGAAGTAAAACTGCATGGTAGTTTTCTAAAGCCTGGTTAACTGTTGATTTCTGGTGGTACCCTTTGGTAAACAAGAACCATAGTGTGCAGATGACTAGGGATTTGAACTGCTGCTGCAGGCAGTTTCCAGATGTCCCTTGTGTTCCCAAAGTGTTTATTCAGGGGAGAGTCCACTTATAGGTTGATCTAGAATTCTAGGGTCTGAATCTTACTACTCTGCTGAGGGTCCACACACTCTACCCTGCTCACCCCTAACTGGGCTTCTATGTTTGAATGTAGAATTAATATGCCTTGAGAAATTGATGTTAGCTGCCTTTTTAAAGTTCAGCTTTATAACCATAGAAATGCCTATTATAGACAATATCCCATTCAAGTGACATATTTAGAAAATGGTTCCTTTAAAAAAAAATTGCTAATAGGGCATGTATACTCACTAGAGAAAGGGAGAGAGAGAAAGAAAGTGAGAAATCAATCCCTTTTCCTCCATTTTTCTCTCAGGATTTTGGGCATGCATGCACACACACTCACCATGATTTTCAAGCCCTAGATCCAGGACTCAAACTGCAAAGTATTCCATATGGAATTCAGCTGCTTTAACCACCATACCATGAGCTGACCCAGAAAATTGGTTCTTTTTTTAAAGAATTATTTATTTTATTTTATTTTATTTTATTTTATTCATTCATTTCTTTTAATTTGACCAGAAAAAGACACAGAGAGAGAGGGAAAGCGAGAAAGGAAGCCATCAGGTCTGAGATTCCAACCATGGTTGGCCATATGGGAGTACCCAGCACCTTAAGCACCACGCCACCTGCTGGCCTCCAGAAAATTGGTCCTTAAAAAAAAAGAAGAGAGGGACCAGCAGTTAGCATAATGGCTATGTCGCTGGACTCCCATGTAGTCGACTGTGGTTCGAGTCCTGGACCCGGTGGCTTAAACTCATGCCAGGCGCGTGTGCGTGCGTGCCCAAGATCCTGAGAGGAGAATGGAGGAGAGGGGATTGCGGCGTGACCATCCTCCCTGGGGGGTGATTTCTTGCTTTCTGTCTCTGTCTCTGTCTGTCTGGTGAGCGCACACGCCCTATAGCAAAAACCTCTTCAAAAAAAAAAAAAAAAAAAAAGAGAAATGTATTCATGTGAATTGGACTCTGGAAATCATAGACTTTAACATTTCTTTTTGCAAAGTAAAATTTCTACCTTAAAGTTGAGTGTCCTTTAAAAAAAGATACCATTGTAAAGAAGAATGGGAGGGCGGATGGTAGATTATTATGCAGGATTGTGAGAAAGGACTATAGGACCCTTGATACTGTCAGTTCCAAATGTTCGTGAATATGGGATCCAAACACTAATTCTGTGGAGAAGTGGTATAACAGCTCTCCCCAAATAATACTACCCTCCAGAGTTAATGTTTTCATCACTATACGATTTATTCTTCAAAATGCTTTAAGCACCTCTCTATACTTTCATATTTTTCTCTTCTAATCTGTAGCAAAATCACCAGGACAGCCAATACAAGTGGTTTATGTACCATCCCATCTCTATCACATGGTGTTTGAACTTTTCAAGGTTTGTAAAATAGTATTGCATAACCCTTACCAGTCCTTTCATGAGGTTAGGATTCTGCCCTCCAAGTCAGATATTCCCCTGGGTTCTCCTATCTTATTAAAAGATGTCATTTCATGTCAGTATTGTGTCACAATGCCGGAGATAGTTTCTGTAAACATGTCCACACACCTTCAGTGTAGTGGTGAGCTCGGACTTTGGAGTAAAAAAGACAAGGGCTTGCATCTCAGTTCTGTTACTTAATGTCTGTGAGACCTTGGGCAAGTCACTTAGCTTCTCTGAGCCTCAGTTTTCTCTTCTGTAACATAATACTATCCAGGATTATTTATGAAGATTGAGAATAACATAATAAGTATTCAGTACAATAGTACATTATAGGTACTTAGTAAAGTTATGTTTTTGTAAAGCAAAATATTTAAGAGTGATTTCTCTACTTTTGTATTCTCAAAGCACTGGAGTCCCACTGAAAATGCTTTTTTGTTTGTTTTTTTTCTGTTCTTTTGTTTTGAGAAAGTCATTCATATTGACTCACATGACGTGATGTATTATTTTTGTTCTTTTATTAAGGTTTTTGTCATAAAGTGCTTGTGCTCACTGGAGAGAAATTGAGAGGGAAAGGGAGAAATCACCTCCCAGTGGGGATTGCCACCTTACAGTCCCTTCTCTTCCTTTTTCTTCCTGGGACTTTGGGCATGTTTGCACACGTACCCGGCATGATTTTCAAGTCTCCAGGTCTGGGACTCAAACTGTGGTCTGCCATGTGAAAGTTCCAGTACCCTAACCACCATGCCACCTGCTGGCTCCTATTTTTGTTCTTTCCAGCAAATTTTGAAAACTACATAAAATTAAGCTTGAGTGTTGAGAGAATCTTTTGTCGCCCCCAGCGATACTTGCTGGTTGACAGAAGGGTGGGTGTTGATTGACAGGAGTCCCTGTGGCTGAAAGCAACTGGCCTAAATCAGAAACCTGTTGTCTCTCTTACTCTAGTTACTGTGTCTTCAGCAGCAGCCAACTCCAAGACAGAAGAGGTGGCTTTCAGTCTGACAGTGAAAAAGAAAAATACACTGAGACCTCAGAAAAACCGATTGAATCTTAGAACAGCAAGGTTTCAAGAATGCTCTTGTTCTAAGACAGCAAGAACCTAGCTAATATCTTATTAAATCTCCCTATTAAAGTGGTTGTATCAATAGCAATTGGCGCTTACAGGGTTAAAGCTGGTGTTTTCCTGAGTTCCAGTTCGTGCCCTGTGATGCTTAATCAGGGAGTGCCCTATCTTACACAGCGTGTGCTGCATGCCGTCTGCAGCTGCGGCATTCCTCTGGAACCCGGCCCTAAACTGAGGTGGTGGAACCTCTTCCTCAGGGCTGCTCTACTCTGGTTCACCAACCAGGGCTACACTTCCTTTTGTTCAAATGCAGCCCTTTTTGCCTCTCCAGTTTAGCCTAGCCTTTATCATGTCCTACTCCATTGTTGCCTGTCATGTTGTTACTGTTTAATCCGTAGGCTATGCTGGCATTTATTGCCCGTGTCCTTTAGAAATGGACCAAACGGTTTTATACTGTAAATATCTTAGTTTCAAACTAGTGGCAAAGGGATGAGTATATTAGTGTCTCTACCGTTAATGTTATTACTATTACTGTTATGACTATATAAAAAAGTTATCTTAAAAAATGTATGACAGTTGAGATGATTCTTTAAAACAGCTGAAACTACATTTTCAAAGTTTTACCCACTACTTAGTAGCACTGTTAAAGTGTTTGGGACACAGTTTTATTTTTTTCTGATATAATGTAAATTAGTTAAATAGTGTGTAGAAGTCTGGTTACAGAGTTTAGTTAGAATTGTTAACTCAAAATATCTTTCAATTCCTCCCCAAATTGTCTCAAAAAATTTTTTTTAGGGGTTTTGCCATAGGGTGCATGCACTCGCTGGAAAGAAACAGAGACAGGGAGAGGGAAAGTGAGAAATCACCCTCCCCCGGGAGGGATGACCGTGCCTCAGTCCCTTCTCTTCCATTCTCCTCCTGGATTTTGGGCACACATGCACAAGAGCCTGGTTGGATTTTCAAGCTGCTGTGTTTGGGACTCGAATAGTGGACTGCCATGTGAGTCCAGTACCTTAATCACCATGCCACCTGGTGGCCCCAACTCAATTTATTGTGTGTGTGTTTTTTTTTTAAAGAATTCTTTAATTTTATTTATTATTATTTTTTTAAATTTACTGTAGGACATATGTGCTCACTAGAGAGAGAAAGTAAGCCACCAGGTCTGAGACTCAAACTGTGGTTGGCCATGTAGGAGTCTAGAACCCTAACCACCATACCACCTGCTGGGACCCTCTATCCCCAGCTCAGTTTTTTTTTTTTTTTTTCCCTGGGGGAAGAGGTTTTTGCTTTAGTGCACGTGCACTCCCCAGAAAAACAGAGACACAGAGACAGAAGAAATCACCTCCTAGGGGGTTGGCCATGCCGCAATCCCTTCTCCTCCATTCTCCTCTTGGGATCTTGGACATTCATGCACACACATCCTGTGTGAGTTTAAGCCATCAGGTCCGGGACTCGAACTGTGGTCAACTACATGGGAGTTCTGCGACATAGTCATTATACTAACTGCTGGTCCCTTCCCCCAACTCAATTTTTTTTAAGTAATTTTTGAAATATAGTGATAAGTATTATGATTCCTTAACAGGTTTAAATAGGATTAAAAATTTCTTAATTCAGATAGTGCATATGTACTTGAAAATTATGATTTCCCTTTTTTTTTAAAGTTGTGTTTTTCATGTAACACTAATACATTTCAGAATGCAATGAGAGCAACTATGGAACACCATGCTGACAAAGGTGTTTACCCCCCTATTCAAGTTCATGTTACGCTGGGTAACGAGGATTTGACTGTGAAGGTAATACCCTTTTTTTTCTTTACCTCGTGTACAAGCATATTGTAGATTGGCTGAGCAGGGATTTGAACTGCAGTTACCATGTGGGATCTGGCCCGTCTTAAGCAGTGCATTATCTCTGTGCCACACAGCAGGCACAGAGCTGACCCCTTTTGTTTCATCTGATTCTTGTAATAGCTCCTTCTGAACACAGGCGATTTCATCCTTAATTTGACAGATGAGGAAACCCAGGCACAGTGATTAGCACAGGATCACATAGGGCATAAATTCCACAGGACAGGAATTCCAGTCCTGACTTTATAGCTAGGCCTTTTCCACTGCATTGTTCAGATGGCTCGATTTCTGAAGAGTATGACAATGTTGTTTTGTTTATTGTTTGTTTATTTGTTTTATTTTTTAAATCTTTCACTGAGGGACTAAGGGAGTCAGATACCACATAACTGACTGCAGCTTAAATTCCGGCCCTGGTGGATTCAGAAACACACCAGATGTGTGTGCGTGCATGCCCAGACACCTGACAGGCTGGAGAAATGGAGAAAGGGTTGTGGCATGACCTTGCTCCAGTGGGAAGAATTTTTTCCCTGTCTTTCTTTTCTCTTCTCCCTGGTGACCATCCAGACCCTATGGCAATTAAAAGATAACAATCATTGGGGCCAACAGCTGACTTGGTGGTTAAGGCACTGGATTTTCACATGGCCAAAAATGGTTCGAGTCCTAGACCTGGCAGCTTGAGGATCACTCTGGGTGCCTGTGTGTATATGCCCAGAATCCTAAGGAGAATAAGGAGAAGGATTGCAGCATGACCATCACCTCGGGGGAGAGGGGTTATCTCACTTTGCTTCTCTGTCTCTTTCTGGTGAACACACACATCCTATGGCAAAAACTTAAAAAAAAAAAAAAAAAAAAAAAAGGGAACCACAAGTTAGTGAATGGCCATATCTGCAGTTAGTGTAATGGCTATGTCGCTGGACTCCCATGTAGTCGACCGCGGTTCGCGTCCTGGACCCGGTGGCTTAAAACTCACGCCGGGCGCGTGTGCGTGCGTGCCCAAGATCCCGAGGGAGAATGGAGGAGAAGGGATTGCGGCGTGGCCATCCCCCCTGGGGGGTGATTTCTTGCTTTCCGTGTCTATGTCTCTCTCTGTCTGGCGAGTGCACTCGCCCTATAGCAAAAATCTCTCAAAAAAAAAAAAAAAGACAAATTATTTAAAAGTTTGTATTATAGGGCAGGCCTCATCTTGCAGCAGTAAAGTACAGTGCATAGGATGCTAGATCCCATGTGGCTGAATGACCATGGTTTAAATGCTGACCTTGGTGGCTTAAAAACATGTCAAATGCATGTAAATGGGTGACCAAAATCCTAATGGGAAGGAGAAATGGACAAAAAAGGATTGCAGTGTAACTTCACCCCATTGGGAGGTGCTTTCTCTTTAATTTTTTTTTTTTTCTTAAATTTTGTTAGAGGGCACATGCACCAGACAGAGAGAGAGAGAGAGAGCAAGAGAGAGAGAGAATGAGAATGAGTAAGAAAGCATTCCACAGGGGAGATAGTCGTGCTGTAGTCCCTTCCCCTCTGTTCTCTCAGGATTCTGGGCACAAATGTACTCATGCCCTACATGTTTTTCAAACTACTAGGTCTAGGACTTGAACCACACAGTCTGCCATGTGGATTCTATCCATCTTAACCATCATGTCATCAGCTGACCTGGGAGGTTTTTATTCCTCTCTCTGTCATGTGCGCATGTGCCCTCTGGCAATTTTTTAAAAATTTGTATTAATGTAATAAATGCAGAGTCTAAAAATCTATGCCGATACTTGGCTACTAGTGGACCTCACTAGGAGTCCTTTAGTTAATTCTTTTGTTTCATTTTTTTTAGTTTGCTATAGGGCACGGCCACTCTCCAGAGAGAGAGGGAAAGTGAGAAAGCACTCCCCAAGGGGGTTGGCCACGCTGAAATCCCTCTCCTCATTCTCTTCTTGGGACTTCGGGTACACACATATGTGCACAGCATTATTTTCAAGCCTCCAGGTCTGGGACTACATAATAGGTCATGTGGGATCCAGCACCTTCACCTCCACACCACCTGCTGACCTGTTTTTTTTTTGTTGTTGTTTTCATTTTTTAATTGCCAGAGGGCATGTCACTCACCAGAGAAAGACCGGGAGAAAGCATCCCCACAATGGGGTCACATTGTAATCTTTTCTTTATTTCTTTATCCTGCTAGGATTTGGGGCACATATGCATAGTGCCTAGTGTATATTTCAAACTGATTGGGCCAGGATTTGAACTTTGGTCAGCCGTGTGGGATCAGCTCCCTTAATCGGTAGGCTACAGGGTCAGCTGACCTGTGATGGATGTTCTTATACATTGTATACTTCCCTGCTTTCTTTCCTTTTTAAAAAAATTATTTATTTAATTCCATTTGTTATTATTGTTATTTTTAAATTTGGGCAGAGAGAGAAAGGGAAAGCAAGCTGCCAGGTCTGGGACTGATAGCTTGTGTTCGGCCATGTGGGAGTCCAGCACCTTAACCATCATGTCGCCTACTGGCCTGCTCTTTCTTTCTTTGTTTGCTTCTTTTCAAATAATAATTTTATTTAGCTTTATTTATTTATTTTAATTTTTCAAGAGAGGAACAGAGAGAGAGAGAGAGAGAGAGAAGGAAAGTGAGAAACCAAACTGCCATGTCGAGAACTCAAACCGTGGTTGGCCATTTGGGAGTCCAATGCCCTTAACCTCTACGCCACCTGCCGGGCCCCTGCTTATTTCTCAGGATAAATTTCTGGAGGTAACATTGCTAGGGTAATAGATAGATGCATTTTTAAAAATTATTTATTTAATTTTGCTTATTATTATTTAAATTTGCTATCGGGCCTGTGTGCTCACTAGAGAGAGAGAGAGAGAGAAAGTGAGAAAGTAAGCTGCCAGGTCCGGGACTCAAACCACAGTTGGCCACATGGGAATCTAGCATCCCAATCACCATGCTACCTGCTGGCCCCAGGGTACATGAATTTTTAATTTGATTCTCATCCTATACTGACCACCAGAAAGAAGTAACAGGTTTATTGTTATATCCAAGAGAGGCTTACCCCCTGCCTAGTATCAAACCATTAATTCACTGTTAGTGAGACTAAGAGATACAAAAGCCACAGCAGTGAATGGAGTTGACTATGTATTAGGAGAATTTCGTTAGGTCTACCAGTGTGGGAAGTGACTATTTGTGGGAAGCTAGATGGTTAATTTGGATTGTGTGCTGTTCGTTTTCAAAAGCAGCAGCCTCCCCACCAGCAGTTACACTGTGACACCATGAGTAATTTTCAGTATTTTGCTATTTGCAGGACTTAGTCATCGAGCATGATTCTTTCTTTTCTTAGATGAGTGACCGAGGAGGCGGTGTTCCTTTAAGAAAAATTGACAGACTCTTCAACTACATGTACTCAACTGCACCCCGGCCTCGTGTTGAGACTTCCCGAGCCGTGCCCCTGGTATGCAGTGAAGAAACAACGGCCTGGTCAGCAGGCGTGGGGAGGAAAGTTGGAGAAAGCCTGCCTATTATCCCTAGGAAGGGCATTCTGTCCACCCGATTATTGAGGGCTCCTCCGTGTGGTGCCCTGTGCTGGGCATTTGCATGGACAGATTATCTTCACACTGTGAGCCCACTCAGAAAGGAGCATCCACAGCTTTCTCTTCTAAATCTTCTTTTCATCAGCCAGCCAGTCTTGTTCTTTTCAAGTCTCTAACCAGCCAGCTGATCTGTTTGCTCCACCTGTGCTGGTAGGATTTATTTCATGCCATCTTTCGGGCCTGCACCCTACTCCTAAGAAGGGTTGAGTTCACTCTCAGCTGGTGCTAGCACACTGGGTAGGTCCATCTGTGGACTAGGCTAACCCTTGCTGCTTTGCTTCTCTGTTAACTAGATGTAAGGGAAGGCCCAGCAGTCCCTAGAGGTGGCCAAGGCAGGTCAGCTGTCACAGGAGTCTGAGCTTCCTATGTGTACAGTTTTCTTGGGGCCATTTCTAACCAAATAATGTATTAGTCTGGAACACAGCAGCAGATGTAGTTCACTCAAATTATGGCTCAAGGAAGGCATTCTTTTTTTTTTTTTTTTCCAATGTATTTGCCAAAGAGAGACAGAAAGGGACTGTAAGAATGCACACCTCCTCCCCACCCCCACCATGGCAGATGGCTGTGCCAAAATTCCTTGCCCTCTGTTTCTCCCTCAAGGAAGGCTTGTTTACAAGAGCCTGATTAAGTAGATGTGGACAAAGACAGCACAGGCACCCAAACCAGCAACAGTGTGGCCATGACCACCCAGGTTCAAAGGCATGAGGAGAAGGCAAGGATAGCAGAACCCAGAAGAAGGGGAAGTTACAGTGTGGCTGCTTGCTGTCAAGGGGCCCAGCCTGCACAGGGCAGCCACCGGGAAGAAACTAGAAGAATGATGAATACTTCGCCTGGCCTTCCTCCGAATTCTTGAGGGGATCTCCATTGTCAGGACCAGCCAGAAGCAAAGAGCTTGGCAATTGGTCCATGGATATAATCCCTTCAGGTCAGCCTTCCAGGGCAGGAAATGTGGAAGTTGGATATTTGGTTTGGACGGGTTAGAACGTCAGGTGATAGTTGGTGTAGGTCAGTGAAGGTGTTGCCTGGCCTGATTTCCAAGTCTAGACAGGCTCTCTGCTAACATGTGAACAGAATGTCATTGAACACATGGCTTGGGAATTACAGCCACATTCACATTTATCTGCATGTTTTGCATTAAATAATTGGTAGGATTTATTCAGGTGAAGAAGGAGACTCAGGTTCTGGGAACGGGATGTACAAAGACATAGAAGTGGTATGTTTAAGAATGTTCTGCTAGACTGGGCAGGGGGAGGCAGATACCTAATCTTATTGGGTCTTTCAAGCTTTTTTGAGAAGCTTGCATTTTTCTCTCTAAAGCAATGGGGTGAAGGTAGGGTATGCTTTGAAGTTTTTTAAACATAAAGTCACCTATTGGAAGTAGACCTGTTATAGATATCTGCATATAGGCTGGAAATTCATGGTGTGAGGTCCTGAGATAAATCTGTTAGGCTTAGACAAGGCCTTTTCACTCTACCTCCTAAAAGAGATATTTTACATGCTATTGCCAAGAACATTATCGAGTACCCTCAAACAGGGCAGTGAAGAAAAATAACATGCCTTTTCCAGATCACAAGTCACTTGATAGAAAGAATGAAGAATTTCGGGACCAGCAATTGGCGTAATGGCTATGTTGCTGGACTACCACGTAGTCGACCGTGGTTCAAGTCCTGGACCCGGTGTCTAAAATTCAGATTGGGCGCATGTGTTTGGGTGCCCAAGATCCTGAGAGGAGACTGGAGAAGAGATTGCAGTGTGGCCATCCCCCCTGGAGGGCAATTTCTCACTTTCTGGCTTTTTGTCTTTCTGTCTCTCTCTGTCTTTCTGGCCAGCACACACGCCCTATAGCAGCCCCCCCCCCCCCCCCCCCGCCATCCCAGGCCAAAAAACAAGTGAAGAATTTTAAATGACCAGAGGGGAGTCAGCTAATTGTACTCTGCTAAGCTTCAGCTTAATCATTAGGAATATGTACTAATGCTCATATTAATAGATCTCTTAGATGCAAGCTCGGTAAGTATAAGCATTTACCTTCACTCGAGAAGTATTTCAGTGTGTGGTTTTCTGAATAGAACTTTCTTTTTTTCTCATCAAACAGGCTGGTTTTGGTTATGGCTTGCCGATATCGCGTCTGTACGCGCAGTACTTCCAAGGAGACCTAAAGCTGTATTCCCTCGAGGGTTACGGGACAGACGCGGTTGTCTACATTAAGGTAATAACTTCAGTCTTCTTGATTTAATGGCATTTCTGATAATGAAAAGAAAAGATGGCAATAGTTAACTGTAATCAAATTTTACTGTTATTTAAATATCAAACCACGAAGGATATTTTACATGGGATCTTTTCTGTTTTGGCAGATAATTCCCTTGTGACCGCCAGGAAAAAACAATCTCACTCGTCATGATCAGGACTGTGGTGGCTAGTAGTAAAAAACTTGGGTCGAACTGGGGAGTCATAAAAAGTTATGTATTGTACAGATTTAATTTTAACATAACAAACATGAGTGGACATTGATCCACCCATCTTTTGGTCTACTGCCAAGGGTTTTTCTTTCTTTTTAAAGAATTATTTATTTCATTTATTATTATTATTATTATTTAATTGGACCAGAGAAAGAGAGGAAGAAAGAGAGCAACTCTCCCGGTCTGGGACTCAAACTGTGGTCAGTCATGTAGGAGTCCAGCCCCCAGCCCCCAAACTACTATGCCATCTGCCAGCCCCACTTTTTTTTTTTTAATTTGCCAGAAAGTGGACATACTTGCCAGAGAGAGACAGTGAGGGAAAGGGAGAAAGCACCCCTCCCTTGCGGGGAATGGTCATACCTTAGTTCCTTCTCCTCCACCTCTCCTTCCTCTGGGGATTTTGGGCATGCACACTGCATGCCTGGTTTGTTTTTCAAGCAAGCAAGCAAGTCTAGGAATCGAACCCTGAGAGTTGACCATGTAAGCTCCAGCTAGCTCCGTTAACTGCCAGGCCAGTGGCCGGCAACCAAGGCCTTTTCTTGGTATATGGGTCAGGAGATTGGTGTGCCAATTGCTTTCTTGCAGAAGCTCATTTTATTTTCTTTAAACAAACAACAAAGTGCACAATCCTCTTGGATTTTTTTAAAGATTTATTTATTTATTTAATTCTATTTGTTGTTATTATTTTCTAATTTGACCAGAGAGGAAGAAAGGGAAAGCAAGAAAGCAAGCCACTAGGTCTGGGATTCAAACTGCAGTCAGCCATGTGGGAATCCAGTGCCTTTAACTACTGTACCACCTGCTGCTCCTCCTCTTTTTATTTTAAGAGAGATTTTTGCTATAGGTCACATAAGCTTACTGGAGAGACAGAAAACAAGAAATCAACTCCTGGGGGGATGGCTATGCCGCAGTCCCTTCTCTTCCATTCTCCTCTTGGGATTTTGGACACACGTGCACGTATGCCCAGTGTGTTTTAAGCTGCCGGGTCTGGGACTCAAACCATGGTTGACTGCATGTGAGTCCAGCAACGTAACCATTACACCATCTGCTGGTCCCCCTCTTGGGTTTTTTATGCAGTTATTTACAGCATCACCTGACTGTGATTTGATAGCAATTTTTTGTTTGTTTGTTTGTTTGTTTTTTGGAGAGGATTTTGCTATAGGGTGCGTGCGCTCACCAGCCAGACAGACAGAGACAGAGAGACAGAAAGCGAGAAATCACCCCCCCCAGGGGGGATGGTCACGCCGCAATCCCTTCTCCTCCATTCTCCTCTCGGGATCTTGGGCACACACACACACGTGCCCGGCGTGAGTTTTAAGCCACCGGGTCCGGGACGCGAACCACGGTCGACTACGTGGGAGTCCAGCGACATAGCCATTATGCTACCTGCTGGTCCCGACAGCAATTTTTTGTGTGTGACATTTTTCAAGAGACTTTCCAGAGCATTCATCTTTGTTTTCAAAGACCACCACCCATCCACCCACCCACTAACCCCACGTCACCTGCTCTACCCATGCTTCCTGGTGCTTTGTTTCTGTAATACTCAAATTTTGTAATTACAGTCAACAGATGTAATTGCATAAAAAGATTTAGAAACAAGCACAAGTAACTCTTGGTAAGGATGCAACTAACGTGGTGGAAGCAGAAGCACTTGGGTTGTGGGCCTAGACTATTCAGTGTGTTTGCAGAAGGATCCTGTTTTACAGGGATGGAAAAAGCACTGAGCTCGAACACTCCCCCTTGGTTAAGTGGTGAAAATGGGTGTCAAATTATTTAGGACATCGGTTTCTTATTCTGGCCACTAGATGGCACCTATTTATAGAAAATGCTGAAAATTATATTGAAAAAACTAAATTTATCTGAAAAGATTACACTTTAGTTAACTGTTCTATTTTGAACCATCTCTATTGCAAGGGACATAAAAAGAGCAGTATCAGTACAATATTTACTCCTAGTAGCAAATGTAATGTTTCGATCTAGCCTATAGATCAAGAAATTCTGGAATACAATTAAAGAGAATATATAGATTAAAGAATTTTTTTTTTTTTGGAGAGGTTTTTGCTATAGGGCGCGTGTGCTCGCCAGACAGAGACAGACAGAGAGACAGAATCACTCTCCAGCGGGGGATGGCCACGCTGCAATCCCTTCTCCTTCGTTCTCTCGGGATCTTGGGCATGCACGCACATGCACCCGGCAGGAGTTTTAAGCCACCAGGTCTGGGACGTGAACTGCAGTTGACTGCATGGGAGTCCAGTGACATAGCCATTATGCTAACTACTGGTTCCTAGATTAAAGATTTTATATTTTATCCTTTTTGGAAAAAATATAAAACAAGACATCTTACAGAATCACTGATGTCATCAACAAAGACCTTACTTAGCATTATCAGAATGAAATTTCTGGTTTAGTGTTTTCCATAGGCCTGTGGCCTGAGGTTGAGTTACACTGAAAGTTCCCGTTTGAAGAAGACATGGAAGGTCGTTCACCTCCAGTTGCAGTAATTTTCAAGAAGCTGTGTAGAATACTGAGTCACTAGTAATGGTATATTAGAAACATGAACTTACACGTGACACACATGTGTTATGACTGCAATTGAGAGTTTTAATGGCAAAAGAAGGGAATACAGGATTAAATTTAGGGCTAAGAATTGTTCCTGTAAAAGCCAGGATGCCTGTGACCAGCAGTAGGTGTAATGGCTATGTTGCTGGACTCCCATGTAGTCGACCGTGGTTCGTGTCCCAGACCCGGCGGCTTAAAACTCATGCCAGGCGCATGTGCATGCGTGCCCAAGATCCCGAGAGGAGAATGGAGGAGAAGGGATTGCGGCATGGCCATTTCCCGAAAGGGTGATTTCTCGCTTTCTATCTCTTTGTCTCTCTGTCTGTCTCTCTGGGAGCGTACATGCCCTATCGCAAAAACCTCTCCAAAAAAAAAAAAAAGCCAGGATGCCTTAGACATAGTTTTATTTATTGATAACATTCCTCTGAAGAGTTTTGGCTAGTACAGTGACTATACTGGAAAAATTAATAGTATAGAATGTCTTCTAGTAAGTAACTAAAATAGATTTTCTTAAATGTAGCTACATATTTACTAAGGTACCTATGTTGATTTTTAAGATTTTATATTGAATCACCTCTGGTCTGGGTCATGTTTTGTAAGAAACATCTACTGGGACCAGCAGATAGCATAAAGGTTATGTTGCTGACTCCCACATGGTCAGCCGCCGTTCAAGTCCCAAACCTAGTGGCTTAAAATTGCTATGTCCCTGGACTCCCATGTAGTCAACCGTGGTTCGAGTTCTGGACCTGGTGGCTTAAACTCATGCTGTGCACTTGTGCGTGCGTGCCCAGGATCCCAAGAGGAGAATGGAAGAGAAGGGATTGTGGCATGGTCCTCCCCCCTAGGGGTTAATTTCTCACTTTCTGTCTCTCTTTGTCTCTTTGGTGAACATTTGTGCCCTACAGCAAAAACCTCTCTTTTTTTGGGGGGGGGGAGAGGTTTTTGCTATAGGGCACATGCACTCGCCGGACAGACAGAGAGAGAGAGAGACAGAAAGCGAGAAACCACCCCCCGGGGGAATGGCTACACCGCAATCCCCTCTCCTCCATTCTTCTCTTGGGATCTTGGGCGCACACTCACTCGCGCCCGGCGTGAGTTTTAAGCCACCGGGTCTGGGAAGCAAATCGCAGTCGACTACATGGGAGTCCAGCAACATAGCCATTACGCTAACTGCTGGTCCTGAAAAAAACCTCTCTTAAAAAAAATAAAGCAGCAGCATCTATTATGCCTGTGTCAGTTTTCAATGCAATAACTTCCAGGCTGGCTGGGGAATTGTTGTAAGCAACAGACTATTCTCTTAATCTGTGACATAGACTTAGTAAAAACATGTTTCAAATATAAATACTGTTTATTAAATGTTTATATATTTATTTCTTCCATGAAACAGGCAGAGAGACAACAACCCCCGTAGGGTCTTTATGCCATGATCCTCTCCCAGCCAGCCCCAGATCATAGGAAAGTGTGTACCCAGCATGCATCTCCAGATAGGAACCCAGAACCTTCACCCGTGGGTCAGCCTTGCAGAGTATCACATTTCATCCCTGCGCTGCCATCCAGCCCACGTACATTTGTAAAAAAATGTACAGAGATAGTATTACGATTACTAAATAAGATGTCAGGAGAGTATTTTAGCTTTCAGTGAATTTTCACCATTGTGTATTTTCTTGGCCAATGAATTCTAAAAACCAACGGTCTTCTACATTGTTTTTGTGTTTCAGGCTCTGTCCACAGAATCAATAGAAAGACTGCCAGTGTACAACAAGGCTGCCTGGAAGCACTACAACACCAACCATGAGGCGGATGACTGGTGCGTCCCCAGCAGGGAACCAAAAGACATGACGACCTTCCGCAGTGCCTAGATATGCTTGGGACACCTGGCGAATCTGAGTGTGGGTTTTCGTATTAAATTGGAAAGGGGTGGTGCGCAGAACTCCTTTATACCAAATGCTTCACGTGTCATTTTCACACTTACCTGTTCGGGGAGAATAAATGGAAACCGATCCCATTTGTGCCTGTTAAACCTCCTAAAGGATGAAATTGCACCTATTTTACACATATTATTTCACAGTTAACTGAACATACCTTTAAAGAACATGGTTTTGATTTAACTTGTTTATGGTAGACTTCAGAAGACTTGGGGTTTCAACAGGAAGCTTTGTTGTTGTTTATTAGGTAATTGGGAAAGTCATGACATATTTTTTCTATGTTTTTCTATAAAAAAATGTGTCACTACTTTCCTGACCACCAATACTTTCCACTTATGTTTGCTAGAAAGATTTTTCTTTTTTAAAATTTTGCTGAAGGATACATGCACTCGCCAGATATAGGGAAAGTGAGAGGGCACCTCCCATGGCAGATGGCCGTGCCACAGTCCCTTCTCCGTTTCTCCTTTTGGGACTTGGGCCATGCATGCACCCATGTCCCAGTGTGTTTTTCAACTCACCAGGTCTGGCACTCGAACCTCAGAGTTGGCCATATGGGATCGAGCTGCCTTAACCACCGTGCCACTGGCTGGCCCCTAAATTGTACCGATTAGCCAGCTGGCCATCTTTCTGTTCTTTGGAGGAGTTCTGCCATCTTTCTTAAGTAGTGACAGCTGTAGCAAGTGGGCTTCTTGTTTAGCAGTGGCCAATCCCAGGTAAAGCGGAGAACAGTTGTCCTGTGGGTGGAAACCAGCCTCCTCTCCACATCTGCATGCATTGCTTTAGCTCTGAAAATAATTCATCATGTGAGAATTTCATTGTAAAGGATTGGAACGACTAATTCCCTGTGGATCTAAGCCAAGCTCATGGGGAATCTGAGTGTGTTCACGATGAAAGCAAGGGGAAATTTTTATACTAAATACAAACTAGCAGCTCCTAAAATGATAGTGAAGAAATGGAGAAACCATTAGTCCCTGAAATTAAACTAATTGTCAAGATTACCTAGAGGAGCTTTTGAGAAAATATTTTTCCTGGGTCCTAAATCAGATACAGTGAACCACAATCTGTCAGGCTGGAGTAGGTATCTCACTTTCTAAAATGCTCCCCAGGGGCCAGGTGTAGTTGTTGTATCCCTGGACTCGCACATATCCAACCATGGTTTTAGTCCCAGACCCGATGGCTGGAAAATCACCCCTGGCATGTGTGTGTACATACCCAAAATCCCAGGAGGAGAATGGAGGAGAAGGGATTTCAGCACAGCCATCCCCCCGGGGGTGATTTCTCAATTTCCCCTTCGCTGTCTCTCTCTCTTTCTCCAGCACACGCACCCTATGGCAAAAACCTCTAAATAAATAAAATGGTCTTTAGGGGAGTCTGCCCCCTGACCTGGTGGGAACTGCTTTTTAAGTGAGTAGTGATGGTACCACACTTCCTTTTGGTTTCCAACTATTTAAAGATCAGAGTTTTAGACAAAGTGATGTAATTGGAAGCAGAAAAACAAAACGACTACAGGAGACCAGCCAGGTAACCAAAGGGTCAGAACCACAAATGTAAGTCTGGATAGAAATCATGTATTTTCTGAAAACATCCAGCTTTTGTTGCCCAGGGAAAGCCAGTATAGGTTTATCGCAGCCACCCATCACATTCATGTGGTAATTTGTAGTTTACAAGTACAAATTGACTGTCCCTGATCTAAAACTCCAAAATCTAAAATGCTCCAAAATTTGAAACTTGAGTGCCAATAAGATGCCACAAGTGGAAAATTTCTCACTTGACCTCATATGACTGGTCACAGTCAAAACGTGGGTGCATGACAGTTTATCACAGCCCCAAGAGAAATGAGACTCTATCAGGCCCCTATACCTGCAGTGTGTCTTTAACACATAACCCAAACTCCCCCACGCAGGA